TGTGGGGCTGAGAGTCAGTTCTCTGGCCACTTTTTGGAGGCCCTAAGTTCACTGGACTTTGTTGAGACAGTCTGTCCACTTGGTCTCTGGGGCCCTGCCCTCCTTTGGGTGAGTTTTTTTCCTGTGGATGGCCTCTCTCAGTCCTTTGCTGGGTCCTCGACGTCCGGGACGTTGATGTCGTACGACCGACTCCAGCCCAGCCCTCGCCCTGTCCTGTCTGCTGTCCCTGGCTGATCTTGCCCAGCTTTGGGCTCCAAGGCCTCTGTTTGCTCCTTTCGTACTTTCGAGTCCATTCTGGTGTCTGGCAGGTGGCTCCGAGTTGCCCCGGAGGCTCCCCCGGCCGGCCCCCTCCTCACCTCCGTGCGACGCTCAGCCCGGTGCCGAGACAGCAGGTCCAGGCTCACGCCAGTCACTCTCTGCCTTCACGTCCACCCACTGTCCATCAAGCACGTCTCTGGCTCTGCTTTCACAATAATCCACCTCTAGCCGTTTGACCACGTCTGCCGTCACCTGCAGCCTGGGCCCCCTCCAGCTCGGGTGCTGCGTTTCCTCTCAGCTGGGCGTGCATGGCCGTCCCCTGGATCTCCTCCCACGGCAGCCACAGTGTTTCAGATGACATCACTTCACACCCCTGCTTGGAACCCTGCAAGGACCTCTTTTAAAAAAAAATGGAGATATGACTCACATACCACCATTCTGAAGTATGCAATTCAGTGGTTTTTCAACTTTGCACAGGTTGTGCCACCCTCACACTAATTCCAGCATGTACATCGCCCCAGACAAAGCCCCGGAGCTGTTAGCAGTCACTCCCCCAGCCCCCCGGCAATCACTAATGTCTCTGTCTCTTGACGATTTGCCTCCAGTGGGCTCTTCAGTTAAAGTCCAGATTCCTTGCTCTGGCTTCTGAACAGTGGTTCCCAGACCAGCGGCGTCCACATCACATGGGAGCTTGTTAGAAATGCAGCATCTCAGCCCCCTTCCCGGATCCACTCAGTCAGAAACTGAGGGTGGAGCCCAGCCGTCCGTGGTTAACAACTGTCTGTCCATGCCCCAGTTTGAGCACCAGTGGCCTCATGACTCCCCTCGAATCCTTTCCCCTTGCTGCCTCTCCGCGGACCCTGCTGTCCCCCAGACGTGACAGACCAGACCCCTCCTCAAGGCCTTTATGCATGCTGTCTCCTTAGCCTGGCTCGTGCTTTGTTCTGCTTAGCTGGCTGCCCTGGAGCCTTCCGGAACCTTGCCGGTGTGGACGTGCGGACGGGAGGACTGATGTCCTGAGCACCTCTAGCTGCCCCTGTAGACGCACTCTGCACCCTTCTGCTCCCTGCCCTGGGCTCCCAGCCGCGGGCTTGTGCACGCCGCACCCGCGTCCCTCTCCACACAGCCCCCTCTGTTTTGAACTTTGTGCTGTGTGCTGCTTATTACAGGTAATTTCCACAGTAGGACTGAGTCTGTAGAGCAGGTGGCCTGTACGTACTGAGTGGAGGGAAGAAGCAGCAGGATGGCAGGCTGGGGTGAGCACAAGAACCGGGAGGACTCTGCTCTCGTTTCCATCGGAGTGTCCGGCGGTGCTTCGCGCCGCGTGCTCTCCACACTTCTCAACACACAGAGGGAGACTTGCCGTGAAAGTAAGTCCGAGGGGCGTCTGTGCGGTGCAGGACCAGCTACAGGACTCGTTCACCCATGAACATGGACTTACTGCGTGCGTGCCAGGCCGCGCGGTCCACGGTGCTGAAGAGACAGCCCCCTGTCCTGTGTGGAGCGTACGTTCTGGAAGAGAACACGGAGGATAAGACCAGGTTAACGAAGTGTAAATGTGGTGTGTGAGGGACCGTGCCGAGGAGAGCACAGAGCAGGGAAGTGCGTGCGCGTGCACACATGGTGTTGGGATTTGGGCAAGGGTGGCCAGGGCAGGCCTTGCTGGGACGGCAGCACTTGAGGGCAGACCTGCAGGGCCCAGGGGAGCGGTCAGGCTGGCTGCAGGTGGAGCAGGGCTGCCTGTGCAGATCGCGGAGATGGAGCCGATTAGGAGAGGAGGCCCGGAAAGGGAGTGGGGGCAGGTGTTGGCGTGGGCAGGTCACGAGTCCGCTAATCCAGATCCACTCCCCCTCCCTCCCCGGCTGCCCCCCCCGCCCCGCCCCCAACGCAGTGCAGAACGGTCCCGCCTTTCCTCCTGAATTCACTCTGTGTCTCCTGAGTTGTGCAGTTCACACGTAGCACTATCCCTCCCCCCCGCCATTCTGTCACGAGATCCTGTCTTTTCTACGGAATCCAACCTTTCTTACTGCCTTTGTTCAGGCCCTCGCTCCGTGCCAGATGCTGGCTGCAGCGTGCGGGCTGTTGTGGAAGGGTCGGCTTTGACCCTGACGCCCAAAGTCGGTGGCAGTTCTTGGGGCGGAAGACTCCCCTAAGGCGGTCTGGCTAATTATTAACAGATCAGGGGGCAAAGCCCAGACCTCCTCCCGGGACTCAGAGCAATGTCTCCCCGCCTGCCTGCCGGCCTGCCGACCACATTAGGACGGTCCGGTCTCCCCGTCAGTCAGCACTGCGTGCATCCTCACACACGGAAGGTAGAAATGCACCTGCCGCCATTCACACAATGCTGTGCGTTTTCGGGGAAAGGTAATCTTAAACAGAACACATCTCTCTTCATTCTTATTTGTCATTGTATTTGTAAGTAAACAAAGCTGTTGTTTTCCAGAAAGTAAGAGACCAGATCTCTATTAGAGTTTGGGTTACTGTGATTACACAGAGCGTTTCCTATTATTTTCCTGCTGTAAGGAACAGCCTGGAGAGGAGAGAATGGGTCAGAAGAGCAGAATTGACCCTGTCGTTTTAGTAGCCAAGTCTGTCGCTTCCGTGGGTCTTCTTCATTAGTAAAGAGAGTAATGCCGGCCCTGCTTGTGTGGGGTTGGTGTGAATTTCTGAGCTGTGTGTGCAGAGGCTCTCTGAGGGGGCCGGGGGGTGCTGGGACCCTTGTGTGCGGCACAGACACTGTCTGGCTCTGAGGCGTTGAACTTCAGACGGTGTTGGGGTGCGTGGGGAGCATAGAGGACCACTGGAATACCAGAGTGTAAATTGTTGAGGTCCGTCATGAAATGGGCCCTAGAATCTGCCAGAGCCGCAGCAGGGTGCAAGTCTGTGAGCTTAGTGAATCTTTGTTATTTTTTCCAAGTGATTTTTGTGAAGGTTTTATGATTTCTGTGTGGTTTTAAAGTGCAGGCTTCCTGTCTGGTTGAGGCCTGGAATGATGTGTCTTTATTAATACGGTTTGTCGGGAGGGGAAGGACCGGATAGAGTTAGCTTGAAAGCTGTTCAGCTCGTCCTGGGAAGCTGTACGGTTTTTTCCATGTTTTATTTACTGTTTCACTGGTATCCACTGTGTTAATTTTTCTGGGTTCCCTACTTCGTGTTCTCATGGTCTGGGCGACTCTCCACGTTGCACCTGTTCCCGCGGGTTGGGAGCTTTGATGTAAGAAGGAAGGACGCGGTGACCTTAAGAAAACACGGTCGGGGTGAAGGAGGAGCTGCAGGGTGCGTGGTGCTGAGCCTGCTCCCCTTGGGGGGGTGTTCTCCCCTGCTGGCCCCTCCTCTCACTGACCGCACCCCTGTGGCACCCAGCCCGACCACTTAGCGGGCGTCCATCACTGTCCCTAACCAGGCGCTACCTTTTTGCTAGAAGAGCCTAGTGCAGCTCTGTCGGGGTGGGCGAGGAAGTCTGAGCTAGAGGGGGAGGCGTGTGGCTGTGGGGGGCCCATGTCATCCCGAGCGCAGTGCAGGTCCTGCTCATTCTGCCCTTTTGTGGCCTTAAAGCCCCAACTTTTCCCAGTGTCGGTGGCCTGTTAATCATTGTTACAGAATGTGTGCTGGTCCAGAGTGGACCTGCCAAAGCCTTGGCGTTCTCCTTTCCTGAGAAGAATTACTCTCGCGGGGTAAGCGCTCCCGGTGGGATTTCTGTCAGACTGTGTGTGTTTTATCCTGATACACGTGGACCCACCGAGTTGAGTGAACACACAGGGCTCCCTACCTCCGTTGCCGTCCGCCGTGTATTTGTTGTCAGTTTCTCCAGCACTGGGAATTCACATTTTGGGGGGATAATTTAATTGGCATGAAAGCTTGCTCTCTTTACTCTCAGTGTTTTTAAGAGACAACGTCTATTTTTATTAGGAGAGAGACGGCTAGTGAGCTGGAGATTGAGGCCTTCCGCTGTCTGGTTTATGTTCTGTGTGAGGCTGGGTAAGTTTTAGCATCACAGCCCGTTGCTTTGCTAACACCTTGTTGGTAAAGACTTAGGCTGTAATGTAGGTGTTTGATTTGATTAAAACATTTTAGCCTGAAAAGTACGATGTTTTGGGGCACCTGGGTGGCTCAGTCGTTAAGCGTCTGCCTTCAGCTCAGGTCGTGATCCCAGAGTCCTGGGATCGAGCCCCGCATCGGGCTCCATGCTCCACAGGAAGCCTGCTTCTCCCTCTCCCACTCTCCCTGCTTGTGTTCCCTCTCTCGCTGTGTCTCTCTCTGTAAATAAATAAATAAATCTTAAAAAAAAAAAAAAAAAGTACGTGGTTTTGAATAGGTGGTCTATGCGCCTGGTGTAAATATTAGAGTTCCCTCCAAGTTGTGTCTCCTGGGTCCCACCCACCCTCAGAGCAGCACGTTCTTCGGTCTCCCACCGAAGAGGCCGTGTAGACATAAGGGTGCACGCAGATATCGCCGAATCTCCCTCACAGGATTGGTAGGAGGCTGTTTCTAGGGTGGGTCTGGCACCTACGAGGAACTGTGTAAGTATTTAACAAATACAGTGTCAGGGCAGGACTTTGTTTGGCCTTCTGTGTGAACTGGTTGGCCCGAACCCCAAGGCCCCCGGGGGCTCTGCAGGCACCGCTCGCCGAGGGGCCGGGCCGCTGCACCGCTCTTCGACTAGGGCTCTGGGAAGGGAATACGACGTGACCGGAAGGTGAAAGCAGTGTGGACACTGACAGCCGCGGTCTCTGTCTCTGTTGCAGATGTTTCTCACCGTGTACCTCAGTGACAACGAGCAACACTTCACCGAGGTCCCCGTGACCCCCGAGACGATGTGCAGAGACGTGGTGGATCTGTGCAAAGAGCCCGGAGAGAGCGAGTGCCATCTGGCCGAAGTGTGGTGTGGCTCTGGTATGAGACTGTGCTCGGGCTGCCGAGTAGACGTGGCCGCGGGCCGCGCGCGCGTTGTCAGCCGAGAAACCCGGGACTCGCCCGAGCCTCAGGGCGCCGCGTTCTCTCTCCAGCTTCGCTGTGACGTAGGGCGCCTTCCCTTCTCCGCAGTACCGAGGACGCTGCCGTGTGAAAGGGCAGGTGGCCCAGCGGCGCAAGCTTCTGGGCCGGACCCGGAACATGCTCAGGGGGTTCGTGTGCGCTTGGACCCCACTGAATTAGAAACGGGAGGTGTCCTGATTGCCTTGCCCTCTCCAAGTTGTTGTAGGTTTTTAGGGAAAGCTATTCAGTGTTGAGTTACCGTGGTGGCAAAAGGCAGTGGTGAAATCATAGGCATTATTTTAAGCTTTGAAATCAATCCTTCACTCCAGTTCTTTGGAGCTCTAAAATGGGACAGCCTGGTCTTTTTCTGGCCCCTGAGGAGTTTGTAGACGTGGGAGTAATTTTCCATAATTTCTGCCTTGTTCCTGCACAGCCGGGGTGACCTCCCCCTGCTTCTTTTCCTCCTCCGGGGATGCCAGGCGTCCCAGCGCGGGTTACACACTGTGTAAACTGGGTCCTCACCATTCACAGTCCCTGCCTGCAGCCGAGCCCCCTCTCTACCAGGCCGAGACGTCTTGGTCATCTTTGGCCGACTTTCGTACTGTTGGGTGTCCTGGACGGTCTTGTGCTCTCTCCCTGGTTCGCTTACTTCTTTTCCCTTCACAAAAGAGCTGGATTAGACCATTCACATAAGGAAACCCAAATGATCCTTTTCAAGTGAAAATGTGATAGTCTGACTTTCCACTCCTCCGTGGCTTTCTCGTCTCCTGAGGATAAAATCCGGATTTCTGATCTTGGGTTGTGAAGTCTGTGCTGTCATCTGGCACCATTCTCCTCGTCCTGCAGCTTCCCTTCTGTTCCCGAGTGAACTCCTTCCCACCGTAGGGCCGTTGGCGCGAGCCCTCCCCACTGCCTGCACTGCTGTCCAGGTGTTGGCGCCTGGACTTGAGCCGGAACGTTCCGTCCTCCAGGAGAGACGCTGTTGGAGCGTGCTGCTACCGTGGCTGTGAAGCTCCTGATTTAATCCTCTGGGTTTTGTGTGTCTCCTCGTTTACTGCCTCCTGAATCCCCATAGCCCAAACACCTGCACTGGGACGTAAACTCCCTAAGTGGAGAGGCTTGTGTGTGTCGTGTGTTGGTGTGCCCAGCTCAGGGAGAGGGCCTGGCGTCTGGTGCTGCTCCGTGAGTACGTCCTGAGGGACTCAGTGCATGGCCGGATGCTTCTGGCCGCCGCCGCCTTCATTCAGCAGATCACCTTGCTTTACGCTTTACAGAGGTGATCAATAAGCACCCGTCGGGAGCAGGAAGAGGCTCGGTGTCTCCTGGGAGCTCTTGCTTCTACCCGTTCTTTTTCCTCTCAGCGTCTTGCTCACTCAGATATGATGATGTTGAGAAGATTTTTTCTTCTCACTTTTTTAGTTAAAAAAAAAAAAAATGACTGCACCTGAATGTGTTCTTTTTTGTAGAAGAGGAAATGATGTGGACCGAATGGAAGCCTTTACCCTTGCCCATCCCTGATCGCTCAGGATAGCCGCTCTGCGGAGCAGAGAACCTCTCAGACTCTTTTCTCTGCGTTTACGATTGTAGGAGTAGTTTTGTGTGTTGATTCTCCTTCTGTTTTTTCTTTTTGTAAATAGTATCATACATGTCAACATCCTGCAATTTGCCGTTTAACCTTACAGTCCAGCTTAGAGGTGTTTTTCAGATTAGTATGTGTAAATCTACATCGTTATTTTTTATTTTTTAAATTTTTTTGAGAGAGAGAGGGGGCAGGCAGAGGGAGGGGTGAAGGGAGAGAGAATCTTAAGCAGACTCCACGCTGAGCACAGAGCCTGACGCGGGGCTCAATCCCACGACCCTGAGATCATGACTTGAGCCAAAACCAAGAGTCAGACACTGAACTCACTGAGCCACCCAGGTGCCCCTCCACTCTTACTTTTATAAATGCTGCAGTGAAAGTCCTTTTAGGAGCTTCTTGATCCGTGCAACTGTTTCTCTGGAGTAGACACCACGAAGTGCAATTGCTTAATTAAAGGTTCACACACTTTAAAATTTGACGTGTGGTACCAGATTGCCCTCCACAAAGGCTGTCTGCTCATACCCTTACCAGTTATTTTTGAAAGAATCTTCTGTCAACAATTGATAGGATAATATTTTAATTTTTGCTGAGCTGATAGCTGAGGTTGCCCATTGTTTCATTTGTCTCTTGGTCATTTGGGTTTCCATTTTTATATACTTAATTTTTAAAAATTTTCTTACATTTTCAGTAAGCTTCATACCCAAAGTGGGCCTGAAGCTCCCAGCCTTGAGCTCAAGTCTCACGCTTTTCTGACTGAGCCAGCCAGGCGCCCCTGGGTTTCCATTTTTAAAGTACTGTTTCTCTGTAGGCTTTGTTCATGTTTCCCTTGGCGTTTGCCTCTTGATTTGTAGGCATTCAAAAGCAGAAACAACTATCCTGGATCCCAGGCCTGTTGTGTGATTTAAAAGGATCCTTTCCTTACCACAGGGCCGTAAACCTACTCTCCTGTTATGTAATGTTGTAAGTTTGAAAGAATTTTCCTTCCCTCCCCCATTAAGTTTTGTGACTCGTGTGAGTTCCAGAGCGAACTGCTTGTTTCCCGAACGGGCAGTGAATTGTCTGAAGTGCCTTATCGAACGGCGGTTTCTTGCTTACTGACGTGAAACGTCCTGCATGCCACGTTCGATCACGCACGGGGTTAGGTTTCTGTGAGCTTTTGTCCGTTACTTTTGTCTTCTTATTTGTGACAGAACCGAGGGGTTCTGATTACTACAGTTTGAGAATATGTAAGTATCTGTAAGGGAAGTGCTTTTATTTCATTGTTCTGCTTTTTCAAAAAGTATGTGAGCTATTCTTCCATTTTTTTTTTCTTTTTCAGATAAGTTTTAGAAAGGCCTTGAAAGGTTCTGTGAAAAGTCCTGTTGGGACTTTGGTTGTAGTGAATTCTTAATTCGTTTGCGGGTTGTTGCTATGATGCTGTGATTAGAAGCAAGGTCTTGGGTCTCAGAATCCTGTCTCTGTCATTTAGTAGCTTTATAACCGAAACTGTCTACAGGCCTCCCACGTAACCCACGGCCAGGATGGCTGCGGGTGGACAGGCACTGTTTGTAGGGCACCTGCGGGACCTGCAGGGCGTGTGTGAGCGTGCATATCCGGAGCCTGGCTCCACCTCCTCTGTGCTCCCGGAACGTGCAGGGGAAGGTGTGTGTGTGTGTGTGCACGCGTGTGTTTGGTCAGGAGGTAGAAGGTCTACTCAGAAGTTCTGTCGGGGGGTATCTGTCGGCTTGCTAGGGGTGTTTCCTTCTGGGGGGTCTTAGTCGGAATTTCTCTGGTTTAGGGACGAGGAGGGGCACCTCTGTCACCTCCGGGACGGCGAGCAGAATGGTACTTTGTTGTGGCTGAGTGGACTGAGCTCAGGCCGAGTCCGCAAACCCGGCTACTCCGTTCTCTGCCTGTTGGTGACTTCAGGTGCTGGCTCGGTGGCTCTGATTACCAGCAGGCGCTTGGCCATTTCTTAGGCTTGTTCAGTGTTCTGCTAGTAAAGCTTACAGACAGCACTGGAGTGTCTCTGATTTTTTTTTTTTTTTTTTTAAGATTTTATCTATTAGAGAGAGAGCACTAGAGAAAGAAAGAGCACAAGTGGGGGGCAGAGGCAGAGGGAGAAGCAGACTCACTGCTGAGCAGGGAGCCCGATGTGGGACTCGATCCCAGGACCCCAGGATCGTGACCCAAGCCGAAGGCAGACGCTTAAGTATCTCTGATTTTAAGCAGTTGCATCCTCGAACAGTAGTTTGGTTTTTATATCCAGATCCTTGAGGTTGGAAGATATTTCGAGGGCAGCTTAAGATACATGATTTCTCCTGAAGTTCCCATCTACTAGAATATCCTGTGTTCTTCCTTTTGTCTCGAGAGAAGTTCCACAACTGGCAACCTCACCGGGAGACGGGCCAAATAGATACACAGTTGGCCCTTGAACAATGTGGGGGTTCAGGCCACCGACCCGTCGTGTAGTCAGAAATCCACATAGGACTTCCAACTCCCCCCAAACTTCACTCCTTACAGCTTAGTGTTGCCTTGAAGCTCTCCTGACCACGTTTTGTATGTTATGTGTTATATTCTGCATTCTTCCATCGAGTTTGCTGGAGAGAAGAAAGTGCTATTAAGAAAATCGTGGGGCGCCTGGGTGCCTCAGTCAGTCAGGCATCTGACTCTTGGTTTCAGCTCAGGTCATGATCTCAGGGTCGTGAGATCGAGTCCCATCTTGGGCTCCATGCTCAGCGAGGAGTCTGCTTGAGATTCTCTCCCATCTCCCTCTGCTCCTCCCCCCACCCACACGTGCTTTTTCTCTAATAAATAAATATATATATATATTTTTTAAAGAAAATCATAAGGAACAGAAAATACATTTCAGGATTGGACTGTATTTATCAAAAAAATTCCCATATAGGTGGACCTGGGGTGGGTCACACCCGTTCTGTTCAAGGGCCAGCTGTATTTTTAGTGCGGTAAATAGTCTTTTGTTTGGAAGTGGGTATGTCTGATTTTTTTTAACATAGTTTATAGAATTATAGTTTAAAAATAGCCTAAGAGATAGTAGGACTAGACTTTATTTAAAGATTTTATTTAGAGAGCACATGTGCGTGAGCAGGGGGAGGGGCAGAGGGAGAGAGAATCCCAAGCCAACTCTGCGCTGAGTGAGCCCTACGGTGGGGCTTGAACTTATAACCCTGACATCATGACTGAGCCGAAATCAAGAGTCTCAGACGCTCAACCAACTGAGCCACCCAGGCGCCCCCAAGCTATTTATTTAGAAAGTTATTTTTAATTTCTCGTTTATATTTAGAGAACCCTAGAACGTTCGAGTTAGAAGGGACCTGAGAGGCCAGTAGTTTACAGAGACTTCTGAAATCCCCGGAGTTCAACGGCGAGCCTGTGGCCCGTCAGGAGCACTGAGTTAGACTCCCGCGCCCCTGGCGGCTGGCCCAGACGCATTCCCCTTTCCAGTGCCCGCTGGCTCGACACTGACTGTGTGTGTGGGAAATCTGTGGCGCTTCTTTTCTAAGGGCTCTTTTAATGAGAAGAAAGCATCTAGGGATGCTCGGTATTTCCTACAGGCATAATTTGCATGAAGGTTGGATAGTAAATGCTCTTTCTTGTACATGCAAATCATGTGATTTCTGTTTGTTTCCTTTAGAACGTCCAGTTGCTGATAATGAGCGGATGTTTGATGTTCTGCAGAGGTTTGGCGGTCAGAGGAGTGAAGTTCGTTTCTTCCTTCGTCATGAACGGCCCCCTGGCAGGGACACAGGTGGGCAGCATTGTGTGAATCCGAGCAAAGCTGCGGACTTTGCACACGTAGGAGGCGTGGGGGAAGATCAGGAGCCAGGTGACGTGAGGGGTGCGGGACAGGAAGGGACATGGAGGCAAGAGGACAGGTCAGCTTCTAAGACCTGACTGTCTCGGAGGAAAGGGGGCAGTGTCCCTTGATTTGTTTTGTTTGAAGAGGAGAGGATCGGGTGGAAAGGAGTCCCCAGAGCAGGAGGCCGAACTGTGGGAGAGGGGATGTGCACCTGAGAAGGTGTGCCCTCAGCCCGGGAGACAGGGTCCTGCGTTCGGGGGGAGCCGAGCAAGAGAGAGCTGAGCCTTGTGGGATCAGGGTGGAGGGGCTTCTTGTCCGATGGCTTTCTCTGGGGTGGCCGTGGGGTAGGAGGGGGTAGAGGTCAGCATGAGCTGCTGTGGGGAGCGGGGGAGCGTCTGCTGGGGGGGCCAGGCTGTGAGACCACAGACCCCAAAACCAGGGGGCCTTCCCTCCAGCCGCGCTCGGCAGCCTGGACAGTTGTAAGAAGATGGTTGGATTGACCCAGGGTTGGGGTTTTGCCGGCCCAATTCCGAGGAGGGCTAGCGGACGGGGAGAGGAGGCGGTGGGCAGGGCGGCGTCAGCTGGTGGGAAGCGGGGAGGAGGGGCGGCGGGGAGACGGAGGGCGGGGGAAGGGGCTGCCGTCTCGGGCTCATGGGCAGGCGTAGTGAGAGGAAGTTAGGGTCAGAAAGGAGAACGTCTGAATTGAAGATTGCAGAGGGAGAGAGAGCACTTCTAGGTGATGAGGGCCCCATTTGGGCCGTGAAGTGAGCTGGAATTAGAGGCTGAGAGGCCAGCTTTGGATGGAAGTCACGTGGGACAGAGGATGTGGGAGTCAGGTGCTCACACCTGTGGGGACTGAGGGTTCTCACCGGAGTGCATAGACGAGGGAAGGAGGCAGAAGGTGATCCGTGCTGTGCCGGGGGAGGAGCGGTGGGCTGGGAGAAGCCGGGCCCTGAGGGTGCAGCCATCCCAGGGACCCCGCAGCCTCGTTTCCAGTCACATCTGTGGGGAAGCCACTCACTGAGCAGGATTATTAGGTATTTCTCAAAATGGGAGCTCTTTTAAAATGGGAAGTTGAGGATTTGTGACCTCAGCACATTGTTCTTGGGAGCAGGAATATGGGTTACAGATGTTAATTATCGTAACACATCTCAGTTTTACTGCTTTAATATACACGTCCATTATGGTGGCCGGCAATTAGAAATTGTTAAGTGTGGCGTGACTTAGCGTGGACTCCTGCACTCTGCAGGGAGAGGCGCTAGCGCTCGGGTGGCCTGACCCGTCAGAGGCCACGTGCATCACTGGTGTCTCTGATTTTACTTTACATCGGCACTTATTTTTTCCCTAAGCTGCTGCCATTGTAATTTTAAATGGGCATCTACATCACATTTTTATTTTGTCCTTTGTTGACATTACTGCATACGTCCTCTTGGAAGAAGCTGACTTGGACCCGTTCACCTCCCAGTTCTCGTATCTTCTGTATACATAGCGGCTAAATTATTCAAGAGCCTCAGCAGGGCCGTCTCAGTGTGTCTGTAAGGTGAGAAATACAGTCTGAAGACGCAGCTGTGTTCACAGCGCCCCAAACACCAGTGCCACACGGTGTTTCAACGGGGACACAGCAGTGTCTGCCCGCCCAGCAGGGTGGGAGCCTTTCTGTGCAGACCGTGGGTGAGGGTGGGCCTGCCATGCTCTCGTCCCCGGTTAGCCAGGACCTGCGCTGAGCACGGATGTGCGATTTCTCAAGCTCCTGGCACCATGATGATGCCCTGAACGTGCTCCAGCTGGTTCAGGGCTCTCTCTTTGAGGCAGCAAGGAAATCAATAATTCCTAAATGGTAGATTTTTTTTCTTGCAGAAATGTTGTGACAGATTACCTGAGCTTTGTTGTCAGAGAATTGAACAGTATTTTAAAAATAAAGCTAATGCATTCGAGATAGGTGTGTGTGTCATACCTGGCTCTGAGGACAGACCTTTATTGGCATGGGAATCTGTGCTAAGTAGGTATAATAGATGTTATTGATTTATTGATTGATTGATTGTCAGAGAGAGAGAGCACGCACAAGCAGGGGGAGCGGCAGGCAGAGGGAGAAGCAGGCTTCCCGCGGAGCAGGGAGCCCGATGTGGGACTCGATCCCAGGACCCTGGGATCATGACCTGAGCTGAAGGCAGACGCTTAACGACTGAGCCACCCAGGTGCCCCAGTATAATAGATATTTAATTCAGAAGAAATTTTAATCTAAAACTTCTTGGGAGATACTGCGTTTGCTAATCTCTGGGAAGTACAGGTTAGCGCAGTACCGTCTGGTGCTGACTGGTCGCCGTTCCAAGTGAGGTTTTCCAAAGCAGGCAGAACTATGAGACCTTCACTCCATTGCTGTGAGAAAATATTTTGTTTACCGTCTGCTTTCTACTTAAATACCCAGGAGCAAGAATCCCAGAGCTCAGAGATGGGCCAGTACTTACAGGATCTGCCAGCTCTAGTGTTAATGCATCGTTTTTGAATTTTGTGCTTAGTGAGTGGACCACGGTCTCAGGATCCAAGTGTAAAGAGAAATGGTGTGAAAGCCCCTGGTGAGCACCGAAGGAAGGAGAACGGGGTAAGTGTTGGTGCTGAGCTGCTAGAGCTAGTCGAGCAGCTGCTCAGGTAACGTTTCCCTCCTGCCCTTGCTACTTTGTTACTCACCGCCTATGAGGGATGGCCCTTGCTACTTTGTTGCTCAGTGGGTTTTGAGGGAGGACTGCTTTTTATTTTTTTTATTTTTTATTTATTTATTTATTTTTTTAAAGATTTTATTTATTTGAGAGAGAGAATGAGAGAGAGAGAAAGCACATGAGAGGGGGGAGGGTCAGAGGGCGAAGCAGACTCCCTGCCGAGCAGGGAGCCCGATGCGGGACTCGATCCAGGGACTCCAGGATCATGACCTGAGCCGAAGGCAGTCGCCTAACCAACTGAGCCACCCAGGCACCCCCGCTTTTTAATTTTTATTGTTTTTGAAGATTTATTTATTTGAGAGAGGTGGGAGGAGAGAGAGAGCGCACGCGAGAGTGGGCGTGTGCACAAGCAGGGGGAGGGGCAGAGGGAGAAGCAGACTCCCTGCTGAGCAGGGAGCCCCATGTGGGGCTGGATCCCAGGACCCTGAGATCATGACCTTCTTTTTAAAGGGTTGTTTCAAATGTATTTCCTAGAAAGGATTAATTTTAATGATCTCTGCTTGGCTGACTATTGAGAGCAATTAGATGCTGGATACACTGCAAATTCAGAGCAAAACAAATGGTAAATGAGGTTGAGGGAGGATTTATTTTTTACGATTTTATTTTTTGCTGTAATCGCTTTAGTAAAATGAAAAAGTACATGTTCATGCTCTTGCTATTGCATGTGAATTTTAGCAAGTATCTTTGGCGGGTACCTTATAGACATTTCCTTTTCGGAGCTCAGAATTTTTAATACTGTTAGGGATTAGCTGTGTTGTCTTCCCCAAAATCCAGGGTGAATTTATGGGAGAATCCAGGCCATTTGTTCATGTTCTGCCTTTCCCCAAATTCTCCTTGTTTCTCTTCTGAGATCCTACAGTTTTCCTACAGGGATGAAAAGCTCCTATAAGGGTGACCAAAACCTGGTCTTAGCCATTGACAGGATTTGCATGCATCTTGACACTGTATGTGTCCCCTCACTGGGTTTTATTGAAGTATAATTGACCTATCACAATGGCACATGGTTTGAGTACACAATTTGGTCAGTTTTCGCACGCATATACACCTGTGAAGCCAAGGTAGTGAGGATATCCATCATCCCCAGAGCTCCCTCGTGTCCTTCTGCCTCTTCCCCATCCTCAGGGACCCCTGGCGGGTCCACTTTCCGTCACTATAAATTAGTTTTATTTTCTGGAATCTTACATACATGGAGGCATGCAGTATATAGTCTTTTTGTCTGAATTTGCGCAGCATCATTATTTCAGTCTGTCTCATGTGTATCAGTAGTTGGTTCCTTTTTATTGCTGAGAGGCCTTTCCTTGTCCAGATATAGCTTGTTCATCCATTTCTCTCTTGATGGTTATGGGGTTTTCCAGCTTTTGGTCACTCCGTATCAAGCAGTAATGAATATTTGGGTACAAGTCTCTGTATGGGCATATTCTTTTATTTCCCTTGAGTAAATACTAGGAGTGGGGTGCAGGGTCATGTGGCAGGTGTGCGTTCACTTTTTAAGAAGCTGCCAAACTGTTTTCCGAAGTGATTGTTTTATTTTACATTTTCATCAGAGTTCCAGGTTTTCCACATCCTTGCCAACATTTGGTAGGGTCAGTCCTTTCAATTTGGGCGAATAGGCTTCAGTGTGTATTTCTCTAATGCCCGATCATGTTGGTGTGTTTCCATGAGCTTATTTGCGAGTCGTGTATCTTTTTTGGTGAAGTATCTGTTCAGATCTTTTGTTCATATTTTCCTTTGTTGGTTTGTTTGCTTTCTTAGTACTGGGTTCGAGAATTTCCATATTCTGGATCCAGGTCCTTTATTAGGTATATGATTTGCAAATATTTTCCCCAGTCTGTGACTTGTTCTTAATTTTGGTAAAGTATAATTGAGCAATTATAGAAGTTTTGTACTATTACTTTACATTGCATTTTATGATCTGTTTGGATGTGGTGTGAGAATTCAAGTTCTGTCCATGGGTAGATGGGTATCCAGTTGACCAAACCGTGTTTGTTGAAAGGACTCTGTCACTTCAGTGCCTTTGCACCTCTGTTGGAAGTCAGTTGCCTGGTACATGTGCGGGTCTGTCAGTGCTCTCTGCTCTTCTGGCTTGACGTCAGCACTACCTGTGTTGGGCCCCGAGGCAAGCTAAGTCGTGTCGTCCGGTCGCGTGAGGAACATGGTGTGACTGAGCGCCACGGTTTACCGCCGTTCATGCAGGCCGCCTTCAGGCCGCCTTCTCTCTCGGGGCTGTGGGTTTCCAGGGCGCGGTCTAGTACATCTTCTGGTAAATTGATTCCTCGGTACTTTGTGGGGTTTATGCTACTGTAAATGGTATTTAAAATTTTTTTACATTTCTAGTTGTTAACATAAGAGATACAGTGGATTTTTGCATCAGGATCGTTTATCCTGCAGTCTTGCTAGAAACTTCTTAGTTCTGGTAGCTCCTCTGTGGATTCCACACCATTTTCCTCATGGATGACTGTGTTGTCTGTCCTTCCCAAACTGGATACAGCTCACGTCTTTTTCTCACTCTCCTGCACTAGCTAGAACACCGTGGGCCATGCTGAACAGAGTAGACGTCTTGTTTGTTCTGATAACTCTGTCTTGAATTTCCTTGCTAGTGCAGTATTTTTAAAGGTCGTTCTGACACCTATATTCTGGGTTGGCTGCCAGTGCCCCAATATCACGTTTACTATGATCCAACGTTATTTTTCTAATATAAATTAAGTTCAGAAAAAGGTAATTCTAAATTGTTCCATTTCAGCCACAGACAATATATTGAGACTGTTTAATTTTTACATTTATAACTTGAGTGTTGGTCTCTGTATTAGTATGTCTTCCATCGAAACTTAATAAGTCATTGTGGGGATATTAATATAAAAATTAGTAGTCTCTTTCATGTTATGGAAGAAAACTGGCTAATTGTGTCCCGAGGGGCTCAGGGGAAGCTTGCACAGGCCTCTGAGGGAGGGGTCTCTGTCCATGCTCGTCTTGCAGCTGGATTCTTTGTGTTCTCATGTGCAGGTTCACAGCCCCAGGATGGATCTGACTCTTGCTGAGCTTCAGGAAATGGCATCTCGCCAGCAGCAGCAGATCGAGGCCCAGCAGCAAATGCTGGCTACGAAGGTAAGGTCCTGTAAAGACTGGACAGGCCCCTCTGTGGGTGCGTGTGTAGAGCTGTCTCCATGCCACCCTGTTAAGCCAGTGACCTCAAGATACAGGTTGATCCTGTCAACCCACAGGTTCCCTGCTCTGTGGCACTTTCTTCTCTTTACCACAGCATTTTGTAGAGATCCTTACATCATCCCAGTTGCTCAGGATCTCCTGACCCCTGGTTCTGATCACAGTTAACCATGTTATGTTGTGATCGGGAAAACAGGAAAGGCGTAAAGAACCCTCCGACCTTGCTAGAGGGAACTGCTCTGGGCCGGCCTCATCCTGAATTCCTACTGCAGCAAGAGGGACTTGTAACGTTGACCATTGCTAACACTGTCCCCTTCTGTCGTGCGGCACCAATAACAGGCTGCTTGCCTTTATTTGGGACATCCTGCCCCCACAGACTAATCCTTATCTCGGCCTTGAAGAGGTAAAATATGAGAAGCCTCTCCATTACCGTCCACACCAGTCTCCCTGTTTCTCCCGCCAGCTGTAGCCTGTGGTCTGACCCAGATGTCCTCACACTTCCTCCATAAAGGCTGGTGGTCAGTACTGTGGGCTTTGCAGGCTTCTTAGCATCGCGGTCGTGGCACAAAAGTCGCCACAGACGTAAGCTTGTGGGTGGCTGTGTGATGTATGAACACGGGTGGCGGACTGACTTTCACCCACCACCCTGGTCTGAACACTCCGTGTCTGCAGCTGACCACGCCCATGGTGACCGTAAGTTCACTGGAGCTGGGGTGGACTGTGGTGCAGGGTCTGAGATTGTGCATTTCTGACAAGCTCCCTTGCAATGCTGATGGACCATTTCTTGAGTATCAGGGACATAAATTGGAAGTAAAAAGGCTGAGTAATAGAATACATCTTTAACCTCAGGGTCTTATTTTGAAACTGTTTTTGTGTTATTTATGTTTCAGGCATATTAGTCCGAGAAGTGTACCCTTGATTATAAATTGTGTGGCTCTGTTACTCACATTTTTTTGAAGTTTTTATTTATTTGAGAGAGAGATACTGAGGGAGAGCACAAGCGGGGAGGGAGAAGCAGACTCCCCGCCGAGCAGGGAGCCCGACATGGGACTCGATCCCAGGACCCCCGGGATCATGGCCTGAGAGGAAGGCAAACTAGGAACAAAATGTTACATTGTAGGTTTCTGAGGCCTGAGGGCTCTTCAGCTCTTCGCTAAGTGTGTATGCTGAGTGTGCCCTAGCCATCTAAGGTTCTGTGCCCTTCACATCTCATTTACTCCTTACCATGGTCCTACGAGGCTCTCCATCACACTGTTTTTAGCTGAAGAAGGTGACCCGTGTCCTTGGTGAGGGTCTCAGAGCTCGGGTTGTGAGTCCAAATCTGACTGCAAAGCTGCCTTTATAGTGAGTGCCTCCCGTTTCTGCGTGAGCTCGTCCTAACTTCATAGTTGCCCCTCATGAGAACTAGCTGTGGGATCACTGTTCACCTGCCGCAGAGGAACCACTGGGAATAAAATTGCTCCTTCCTGGGTCTTTCCCCCAAGAGAAAGTCGGGTTGGGGCCCGGAGGCTGTGTCTTTCACTCCTGTCCAAGGTGGTTCAGGGGCAGCGTGCAGGATGGCTGGTTGTCCCCTGCCTTGGCCTCTCGGCTGTGCTCGGGTTCGTTTGGGGCCGTGATAAACCTGTTGAAAAGGGTAGGCCTGATGCTGGCTTCCATCTTTAGGAACAGCGCTTAAAGTTTTTGAAACAGCAAGATCAGCGTCAGCAGCAACAAGCTGCTGAGCAGGAGAAGCTCAAGAGGCTGAAGGAGATGGCTGAGAACCAGGAGGCTAAGCTAAAGAAGGTGCGCGCCCTGAAGGGCCACGTGGAGCAGAAGAGGCTGAGCAATGGCCGACTCGGTGAGTCGCTCCCGGAGGGGCCCTGCCAGCGCTCAGGTCTCCGCGGGGGGACACGGGTGTGTGTGTGGGGGGGTGGGCGGACGCGGGGACGCGGGTGCCGGGCACTTAGAGCACTGCGTGCTGAGTGACAGTAAGCCGAGGCTGTGCGTGTAGGCAACTTTAGAATCAAGCTTTTTCAAAGCCTGATTCCCTGCAGTTTTGATGCTCTTGGTGCCTGTGAATTGGATTTAGCTGCTGGGTGTTTCATTATTTTTTAATTTAATTTTTATTTTTTTGATGGGCAGCAAAGCAAAGTTTATTGAGCGATAGTACAAGGCTCCCGAACAGGGAGGGGACCCGAGAGGGTTGCCCTTTGCTGCTGGGTGTTTTAGACAAGGTTTTCACATTACCTTTGGAAAAATGTACTAGTAGGGTGTTTATTTTTTTCTTCTTTCTAAGTATTTTTTGACCGAAAATTTGATGAAGGCAAGGATTTTTATTCATATAATAGGCCCTTCTATTACAATGCCATTTTTTAAAAAAGATTTTATTTATTTATTTGGCAGATAGAACAAGTAGGCAGAGAGGCAGGCAGAGGGAAAGGGAGAAGCAGGCTCCCCGCCGAGCAGGGAGCCCGATGTGGGGCTCGATCCCAGGACCCTGGGATCGTGACCTAAGCCGAAGGCAGCCGCTTAACCGACTGAGCCACCCAGGCACCCCTACAATGCCATTTTAATTAAAATTTTCATGATTTAATAGCTGCCTCTACCACTGTAAAACTGAGGTTAAAAGTTCTAAGTAAATTTCATCGTTTCTAAAATCTGGAGCTTAATAATATTTATAACACAAATTCTGCTAGAGATCTGTTCAGAGGGAGGCACGGACATTTAGAAATGTCTCTGTGGATTTCAGTTGCTTGTAAAAGAAATAGGTTGGTTCTAGGACATTTCTGAAAAACGTCTGTACTTTTTGTTAGGAAGTTTGTTGTAAAGCCCGGTTGCCTGGGAGTGCTCCATTCTCATTTTTCTTTTCAACTGTTGTTGCTTTTCTCGTTCTCATTCTAGTGGAGGAGATTGAGCAAATGAACAGTTTGTTCCAGCAAAAGCAGAGGGAGCTCGTTCTGGCCGTGTCCAAAGTGGAGGGGCTGACCAGACAGCTGGAGATGCTCAAGAACGGCAGGATGGACGGCCGGCACGACAGCCGTTCCGCCGCGGCCGAGCTCGACCGGCTCTACAAGGAGCTGCAGGTGCGGCCCGCTCCAGGGACACAGTCGCCACGGAAGTGGCTGCAAGGGCGGGATTTCGGTTTCTTTTCCTTAAAGTGGGGGGTTGGGGGGACCTAAACCCCAGAGAGTCCAGAATAAACTTCAGAGCACCTGACACAGGCATTCCTTATGACCGCAGCTGGTGGGCTGACGGTTTTAAACCATAAGATGGAAGTGTGGATGGGTGGAGGGACCGTACGTCTTTAGGAATTATGTAATAGTCAAGCATGTGATTATCTGAGAAGTTTTTCTTCCTGCCCCTTGGCTCCCCCGCCCCCCCATTTTATTCAGTTACGGAACACGTTGAATCAGGAGCAGAATGCCAAGTTGCAGCAGCAGCGCGAGTGTCTGAATCAGCGCAATTCAGAGGTGGCAGCCATGGACAAGCGAGTTAATGAGCTGCGGGACCGGCTGTGGAAGAAGAAGGCGGCGCTGCAGCACAAGGAGAGCCTCCCGGTAGGTGGCCGCCGGCCGCCGCGCGGGTCATGTGCATCGCCGCCTCTGGAGCCGTGCCCGGGTGCCCTCGGGGCAGAGGGCCTCCTGCTCGGGACAGAGCGAGGGCAGCCGCTCCGGCCGGGGTGGGGCTGGTCTGCGGCATCTCTTGTGCGCGGGGGGTGAGACCCTGAAACTAATGAGCAAGTGTCATGGCCTCTTCTGGTTGGAATGCCGTCAGACTCGTCATGCTCCCGTGCCTCTCCCTAAGGTTTCATCTGATGGGAACCTGCCCCCGCAAGGGCTGCCGGCGCCCAGTCGCGTGGCCGCGGTGGGCCCCTACATCCAGTCGTCCACGATGCCCCGCGTCCCCTCGAGGCCCGAACTTGTGGTGAAGCCCGCTCTGCCGGACGGCTCCTTGGCCACGCAGGCTCCGGAAGGGCCGCTCAAAGTACACACGCTGCCCAACATGCGATCTGGGGCCACCTCCCAGACTAAAGGTAAAACGGGTCACTTCCAGCCCCTCGCACAGCGTATTCTCCACGTCCTCACCATCATTACCCCCAGGATGGGGTTTAAAAAAATGTCTTCCTCTCCCTGGTTCATGTTTAAATCCTGAGAATCTCCTTGTTGTTTTTGCTAGCGCTGTGATACGTTTCTTAACCCTAAATAATGCAGTTCTGTTTGGGAAATGAGATGAAATACGCTATTTCTGCAATGAAGGTAGTTTTGAATTCCTTCTTGTTAATGAGGACATTTTCTGATGTTAATAACTCGACCCCTTTTCCTTTTGTGTGAAAACACCGCGTACGTGTTAGGGGTGTCATCTTTACAGAAGGCAAGCTGGGGAGTGCGTTCTGCCGACTGGTGGTGCTCAGTGTGCGTACATGCTTACGCAGGAGACTTCGCTTGCTAGCACTTTGTAGAATGAAGGTGAACCTTCTGGAAGCTCACAGTGACCATAACGGAAGTGCCTTGTGTTAGTGGTCTTGGCGCCTGGGTAGTCCTCGGTGTGTGGGGAGGTGCGAGCCAGAGTTTCGGGACAGGAGTCGTAGATGAAGGGAGGCTTGTAGGAGAAGCGGGATGAAAGCGTCCTCTTTCAGACCCCTGCAAGAAGAAATAGCAGCCAGTCACTGTCACACGCAGAAGCTTTACAGTTGCAATTATTTTGCCGTAATTACCAGTGTGAAGCGATAGAGCCACCGGGTCTGGGTTTCACTGCAGAAAGAACTGCTTCTGTTTTGCTCCTGTTAGGACAGAGCTAGGGCTTTGACGCTTCCGTGTCTGTGTAGAGAAAACCCGTGCAGAGCGTGCCCACCTGTGGGACTGGTCGGCGTCCACAGTTCTGCCTTTTTGTTGTGTATCACTGGTGCGTAAGATACGCCCTGGAGCCCTTGGTCTGCGAAACTGGAAGTTGTTTTCTGACGATGACGGTGATGGTTTTGTACCCGTAAGAAGCAGGGTGTCCTCCCTGGTTCGAGCAGATTTTCTGTTTACTACAATTAATCTTAAATTTGTTTCAGTAAGTTTAAATTAGAAATCTAAAGTCTAATATTTTCTAAATAAGTTTAACGGGGAGAAAAAAATCTCTTTAGAGTGCCGGCTTACCGTGTTTGTTTTTCTGCATTCTAGGCTCTAAAATCCATCCACTCGGCCCCGACTGGAGCCCCCCAAGTGCAGACATTTCCGCGAGCCAAGCCTCTGTGCCTGTGAGCTCAGGGGGTGCCCCGGACCAAGGTGGGGTTCTGTTCTGGCATCTGAGAGGCACCCTGTACTCTTTTTCTTCTTCTTCTTCTTTTTTTTTTTTTAAGATTTATTTATTAGAGAGTGTATGGGTGGGAGGGGCAGAGGCAGAGGGAGAGAGAGACTCTCAAGCAGACTCCCTGCTGAGCCCAATGTGGGGCTCGATTGCACAACCGTGAGATCATGACCTGAGCCAAAACCAAGGGTCGGACGCTCAGCCATCTGTGTCACCCAGGTGTCCCCTCAGTCGGCTTTAGTTTGTTTTCTAGCGTGGTAAACCTGGGGAGCAGTGTTCATTTCCAGAACACCTTCGTTTAGCTGTGGAGTTAAAGTTCTAGCATTGTAACATCCGGGCCGTTCTCCAGTGAGCTTAATGAAAAACAGGGAAGCATGTCTCGGGTGTGGGGTTTCAAAGCGATTGAGGAGAGAGAACCTTCTGTGTGAAAAAAGTCTTACTACGAATGTTGAATATCCATGTGCTTTTTTTCTGTCCTCAGCTGATGACGGAGAGGTTCCTCTGAGGGAGAAGGAGAAGAAAGTGCGCCCCTTTTCGATGTTTGACACGGTGGACCAGTCTGCCGCCCCGTCCCCCTTTGGGGCTCTGAGGAAAAACCAGAGCAGTGAGGACATCCTGCGGGATGCGCAGGTGTGAAGCATAGCTCACTTTAACATTCAGTGGTAATTCTGTGTGTGCTCCTTAGAAGAGAGAGACTGTCGTGTTGAGGGAGAGCAGGGAAAACCAAAGTATTTCTGGAAGATTAGAAAACAGAATTCTGTCATTTTGAGTTCTGCAGCTTGAGTGTATTTGTGGTCTCACACCGTATGGGAGAAAGGCTGCCATACTTGCTGTTGGCTCCCATTTCGTGTGATTCTCTGGGAACCAGGAGTGCGCTGAAGCACGTCATATTTGTGCAGCCCAGCGACCTTGTGTCTTCAGAATCTGGAGCCGAGGTTGTGTCAGTAACAATTTGGTGGTGAATCTTCTGTGATCGTTAGGATCCCAGCCTTTGAGCAGTGGGTGATGGCGGCCTGCTCCCTGTTAGGTGTTTTGACCACAGTGCTGTGATGTTCTCGTGAGTGAGGATGATTTTGGGTTATTGGGGCCGTCTGTGAATATGTGAAGTGGCAGTTAAAGTCCCTGAATGGGCACCCCAGGCTCCCGCGTGGGAGGTGACGACCAGGAAGAGGCCTGCGGGGCGGGAATCATAGTGCGTTCCTCACGTTCCTTATCAAACGTAGTTCAGTGCAGCGACCTACACATTTTTCATGACTTGAAAATGTAGAGCTGATGTTCTCGGCGTACACTTATATTTGCAGAATTCGGTTATCTAGAACATGCTATGTACCCATTTGGACAGTGTTGTAACTGCTTTGTATGTGTGTGTGTTTCAGGCCGCCAATAAAAATGTGGCTAAAGTACCACCTCCTGTTCCGTCAAAACCAAAACAGATTAATTTGCCATATTTTGGGCAAACAAGTCAGTCAGCATCAGACATGAAGCCAGAAGGAAACCGTCAGCAGTCGTCGGCAGCTGTTGCGTCCGTGGGAAACAGGCTGAAAACGCAGCAGCAGAGGGTCGTGGTGTCCCCCGGCGCACCCTCGGCTGGCCAGGCCCTGTCTCCAGCTGGGAAGCAGGAGAGCCCCCCCGCCGCCGCCGTCCGGCCCTTCACTCCTCAGCCTTCCAAAGACACCCCTCTCCCACCCTTCCGAAAACCCCAGACCGTGGCAGCAAGCTCCATATACTCCATGTATACACAGCATCAGGCTCCCGGAAAAAACTTGCAGCAGACCGTGCAGAGCACGCTGACCAAGACACATTCCAGAGGGCCGCACTTCTCGACCGGTGAGCTTCTGGGTCTCGTTTTCACCGGCGCTCGATGCGACCAAGTCCTGCGCCAGAGCGGTCACCTGTCAGCGAACAGCAAAGTTGATGGATTCTTTTGTTCTAAGGCTGCTTACCTTTGTCCCCTGCTCCCCGGGAGCTCCTTGGGAGTGAGGCGCACACGGTCCCCACGGCGCGCTGCCCGGTGTCCTCTCTGCGGGGTTCACCAGGTGCTCCTGGGGGTGGACGACAGGACACTGCCCCCAGTGTTTGTAAAGCTCACGCTCTCGACTGTATTTTAAGTTGTTCTGATGAGGACACAGCTGCTAGTTAGCTATAAAAACCTAGAAAGACTGAGAGTCTGGTAATCTTTTGGGTTCTTTCAAAGAGTCCCTCGTTTATAAAACTAGAATCAAGTTCATCCTGTTTTAATTGAATAAGGTTGGCTTTCTGGTCATGAAATCAGCATGTAATTGTGCCCCGCAATGTCCCTCAAGTAACCAGACAACAAAGAATTTACACACGTGCCGTGGCTGACTGTCGGCTTCAGTGAGGACTGCCTGACGCAGTAATTTGGGAATTGGGTAGTTTTGATAGAATCAGAATGATAAGGGGAATAGTTTTGGAAAATAAAAGGGGTTCTTAATAATGTTGTAAGCCAAGTACAATTTCCCCCAGTGATTTAGTTTTGAGACAAGGAAAGAGACGGCGGTGCATGTTTAGTTTTAATCTGGATGCAGGAAAGATTGCCCGTTTCCATTGCTTTTTTACGTTGTTTTCGTATTTTGACATTTTAAGTTTGTATGCTACAGCCAGTGATTTCTTATAGTTACAATGGCAGCGTTTTTCTTCATGGTACATAAAATAATGGTGCACGTTCCCGTCAGTGAGGGTTTTCATTCTGTGGTAAGTTTACTGTGCGGAGATGGAAGCCTTGCTTTGTCCATTCATTCATTCGTTTATTTATTAATTTATATATATATATATATATATATATAAAGATTTTATTTATTCATCTGAGACACAGCGATAGAGATAGAGAGAGAGGAGGGAGCCTGAGCAGGGAGAGAGGCAGAGGGAGAAGGAGAAGCAGACTCCTCGATGAGCCAGGAGCCCGATGTGGGGCTCAATCCCAGGACCCTGGGATCATGACCTGAGCCAAAGGCAGAACGCTTAATGACTGAGCCACCCAGGCGCCCCAGTCCTTTGTTGTTTTTAAAAATGAGTCATGTTGGGCGCCTGGGTGGCTCAGTTGGTTAAGCGACTGCCTTTGGCTCAGGTCATGATCCTGGGGTCCCGGGATTGAGTCCCGCATCGGGCTCCCTGCTCGGTGGGGAGTCTGCTTCTTCCTCTGACCCACCCCCCTCTCGTGCTCTCTCTCTCTCAAATAAATAAAATCTTAAAAAAAAATGAGTCGTCTTGCAAGGTGCCGTGTAGTAACTGAAGTTAAAGGAGGCTTTAAGTACTGTGCCCTGTGTCTGTCACTTGCCGGTTTGATTTAATCCTGATTGGGGCTTTGTTTCCGTTTCCAATCAGTATATGGCAAGCCTGTGATTGCCGCAGCCCAGAGCCAGCAGCAGCACCCGGAGAACGTGTACTCCAGCGGCCAGAGCAAGCCCGGCAGTCCTGAGCCTGACGCGGAGCCCGTGTCCTCAGGCCAGGAGAGCCATGAGAACGAACGAATTCCTCGGCCACTCAGCCCGACCAAACTGCTGCCCTTCTTGTCCAACCCCTACCGAAACCAGAGCGACGCCGACCTGGAAGCCTTGCGGAAAAAACTGTCCAACGCGCCACGGCCGCTCAAGAAACGGAGCTCGATCACGGAGCCAGAGGGTCCGAATGGGCCAAATATCCAGAAACTTCTGTACCAGAGGACCACCATCGCTGCCATGGAGACCATCTCTGTCCCTTCATATCCGTCCAAGCCGACGTCAGTGGCGGCTGACACTGAAAGCCCCGTAGAAATCCAGAATCCGTATTTACACGTGGAGCCAGAGAAGGAGGCGGTCTCTCTGGTTCCTGAGCCAGTGTCCCCAGAGGACGTGGGGAGCGCCAGTTCCGAGAACAGTGACACGCCAGCCCTCTCCCCTGGCCTCGATTATGTGCCCGAAGGAGTCCCAGACAGCAGCCCAGACTTCCAGAACAGTGTAGAAGAACCAAGTGCAGAGGCACCCCATCTGTTGGAAGTGTACCTGGAGGAGTACCCCCCGTACCCGCCCCCGCCATACCCATCTGGGGAGCCAGAAGGGCCAGGAGAAGACTCGGGCAGCATGCGTCCACCCGAAATCACGGGGCAGGTGTCCCTGCCTCCTGTAAGTAATGTGGTGTCTCGTGGTCCTTTCAGGAGCCCCCCGCCCCACCGAACTTGTCAAAGACTTCCAGGTGGTTGACTCTCAAGACCCAGGGAAATGCACACATTCTCAGAGCCATTTGCAAAAGATGGTCTGTGTGTGAATTGCCCGTGGTCACGGACATGTCTATGGTTTTCCTTTTATTTTATGGCCCCCTTAGCACTCGGTAGATCTCAGAAGTATTATAAGAATTTGGCAGATTTAGGATAAAAAACATCTTTATTTTTTAGGAAGAACCCTTCTCTTTGTGAAGAGGCAGAGTTGGGTTCTTACAATACAAAGCACACGCCACTGCGGGCGGTCCCTGCTGGGGAGGTCGGCGAGGCTGGGAAGGGGGAGACCTGGCTGGGAAACTCCCTCACTCGACCAGCTCTGTGAAATCAGGCAGACGGTGCCCTTTCCTCTCTGGTGACGTCACTCTTTCACACTCTTCTTCCTGCCACAGTGACGTGTATCTTTAATGAACTGTTTCGGGGGATCCTCAAACTTCCAACGTTGATAAACTTGGGAGGGTTCGGGACAGACGGGGGCAGGACGAGCCTGTTCCTCTCCTCCCATGCAGGGGACCCCTGAGGTGCGCTTGAGCCCCGGCTGCCCTTCCTCCCAGGCTGTGCGTGTGTTGACTTGGGCACACACGCCTTGCGATTGTTACGCCTTTGCGAGTCTGTCGTGTCCCTTTGAAGTCAGAGAGGATCAAAATCCCAGGGTGTCCTTAAATAAAGTTGACCTCTTCGGGTGTTTCTGTAGGATGCCAAACCATGAATTTTAAAGACCAAAGCAAAACTGCATATTGTAGGGATCTTTTTAAAGTGCTTTATGTGTTTGATCCCTTATTGCATCTTTGAGATGTAATGGTATTCAGAGATAATGATCATCCTGATTTGTTGTGACTGCTGGTTACTGTGGACGTTTACTTACAGGTTTTATACGGCACACGCTGGATTCTAGGGGACAGGGTGTAAATGGAGGTTGGCCCTGGAAATGGCGCTGTGTCCTGTCCGTCCTGGCTCAGGGCTCTCTGCGACTGGCGCTAACCTCGCGGGAAGGAGAGACGAATCACACCTGTGTTTGCTGTGTCCCCCCCTTTGGTTGTCAAGTCCAAATGATTCATGCTCCTAGGGACAGAGGAGACTGTGGGTCCAGTGTCGCAGTCGGTTCCTGTCGTCCCCGGGGGAGCGATTTCCTCCTGGTCTGGCATTGAGTGGGACTGAAGCGCCTGTGTCAGGCTCGTTGGAGAGCGTGTGCAGGGCCCTGCCTGTAAATGGCCACATAACGTTTACACTTCTTGTTTCCAAGAAACAACAGCAGTTGAGTCGTCTCATGTTTGTAAAATGGAGTGACGGCCACTTGATGTTCTCTAAACCTTCGTAGTTTTCCGCTTCCGAAATAAAATAAGGACCAGGCTGTGTAGTGCGGTGCGCCCCAGGAAACGTTTCCATTTTGTTGGGCGCGTGTAGGAAACTTACTCGATGGGTTGTTAGATCAGTTTTAACAATTTTGCTGTAATAGTCGAAAGGCTTGACTAATTTGCTCGTGGATCTTGGAGGACAGTCAAATTCTGAGTAAAGATAGGGGTAGCATTTGAAGACTGGAAGGGTTTCTCGTTAGTGTACCTAACACAGACTGATAATATGTATTGTTCCCATAATTATGTGCTTTTCCCCGAGGAAGGTGGTTGAAAGGAAGGTATTTGGAGAAGCCAGCTGACTTGGATTTAAATCCCAGCTCTGGTGTTCCTGGCTGGGCGCCTTAACTTCCTTATCTGTAGAATGGGGTCACAGGGTTTCTGTGAGGAGTCCACGAGTACATTAAATATTAGCCATGATAACCCTGAGCGTGCCTTTGCCTGGATTAATTGTGTGAGGTTTGCCAGCCTTGATCAGATAGGGAATTGAAGATCAGTCTCGGCTGATTTTATGCCCCACAGAAGGCCCGCTGTGGTGTCACTCCCATGTGACCTCGTGGCGTGTGTATTCAGTAAAAGCTGCGTATTGTGGTTTAGCGGCATCTCTGGGTAACGTTGTATGTCAATAAAATGTGCTGCTAGAGATTTTTAAATGTCCTTTTACTTCTGCAGCTGAGATGCTCCTCCTCCCTTTCCCAAGGCCTGCTCGCTGCGATCGGGGTCCTTACATCCTGCCTCTCTTCCGCAGGGCAAAAGGACAAACTTGCGTAAAACTGGTTCGGAACGGATCGCCCACGGGATGAGGGTGAAGTTCAACCCCCTTGCTTTGCTTCTAGATTCGTCTTTGGAGGGAGAATTTGACCTTGTACAGAGAATTATTTATGAGGTATGACTGGATTCGTAGATTCTTGAATACAATGTTGCTCTGCTTAGGAAGCTCCTCTAGAGGGGGTGGGGGTGAGGTGTGGAGGGGGGACGCAGAGGGAGGGAGGGACACGGAGCGCGCTCACACAGGCTCACACATGGGGCTGCGCTGAGGTGACTGTGGGGTTTGGGGTGACGCGGAAGTGTGGTTTTCCCCAGGGTTCCTCCCGAGTACTTTTCTGTCCAGGGAGACAGTTTCCCTCCATTTATAGCTGCTCCTGGGTGGACGCAGACTTGTGGTGTTAGGTTGCACATGTGGTCCCTATTTTCAGAAGCCTACTATTTAAAATATTCTTAGTTGACCTTTTTTCCTTTCCATGGCAAATACACCTTCTCAGACACTAATTTGTGGTGGGGGCCAGAGGGTAACTAACCAAAAATAGTTCCCAGCACCTCTTCATTTTTAAGACCTTTTTACAGTGAGCGTCTACTTAACGTGGCTGTTCCGGTGGTCTTATTTCTAGACGTGAAGTTGGTGTAGTCATCTTGGCTCCTAGAGGTTTTAATTATAACTGAAAAACAAACAAAAAAACAACAACCCACAGGAGCCTGTTTTTGTACACTTGATCCTGAAGAGCCAGGTGATAGCGACCTGAGCGGTGACAGTCCCCCTTGGTCTCGATGTCACAGGTTGATGACCCGAGCCTGCCCAATGACGAGGGCATCACGGCTCTGCACAACGCTGTGTGTGCAGGCCACACGGAAATCGTTAAGTTCCTGGTGCAGTTTGGTGTGAACGTCAATGCTGCAGACAGTGACGGATGGTAAGTCCCTGGTGCCCACGTGTGTCCCCGTGTGACACTCCTCTCGCTCCCATTCTGGAAGCACGCACAGTTTTATAAAGTATCGTAGTTGAGTGATAAGGAGATGTCACCAAGTGTCACAGACATAGCCGACGTGGCAAGTTTGAGAGATGCTGGGTCAAGCCCAGTTTTGCGAGCCCAGTGACGCCCGTCTTCAGTACACTGATGTCCACGGTGCGTCTGCAAGAGGGAAGCAGAGTTTGCAGCCTTTCCCAAGTGTCTTTGACCGTGGAATCCATTTTTCATGGAGCGTTCTGTGGAACGGTTATGTGCGTAAGACACAGGACACATTGTTGTAAATGACGAGTAGTCTTCATAAGATAATGGGTTATTATTACACACTGAAACAAGGGGTCCTGATAAGGTCATGCCCGATAACTGTAACAGAACAGAGAGTAAATTTTGTAATTCTTTTCTTTTTAAAGAAAGTATAAATTTATTATATGCTTTTTTTGGTAAGAATACAAAAAAACTTTTTTATATATACAATTTCTTAAAGGTAAACAGCCGTTTTTAATCTAGTCCCTTCAAATTTACATATACATATATTTTGTAGCCTAATTTTTTGGTTTAACTTTATAATTTAAGGAAAACAAATTCTTTTATTTAAGGTAAGCTCTATACCCAGCATGGGGCTCTAACTCATGACCCCAAGATCAAGAGTTGCACACTCCCTTGACTGAGGCAGCCGGGCGCCCCCAAAACAAATTCTTAATGTGTAATCATGTCTTTGTTTCCCTGTTATTAGCAGTTTAGGTTATATGTAATTTTTCACTATTAGAAAAGCCGTGCCCTTAAAAAATCTGCAGTGATCTTCACCAGACTTTGGCCGGCAGTGTTCTGGGGTGCAGGATGGGGAATACATGGTTTTGGAGACTCTACACATGAGAGGGATGGGACGATGAGGGGAGGGATGAGAAGGGTGAATACGTGCAGTCCGTGCGATCGGGCCTGGGCCACACGCCGCGGTCCTTCTGTGAGCTACGTGCAGGCTCCTCTTCCTCCTTCGTGAGTCAGGTCGCTCAGAGCATGCGGTAGACATGTGAGCGGCTGGAGGGATGCTCCGTAAGGCCATCAGTAAGTTCCTGCCGGCCGGCGGCCTAACAAACTGAGATGTGCGTATTTCACAGTCGCTTTTCTGGTCTGTATCAAATTGACAAAGCTTTACTCAATTAAAATTCAGTTTGGACCGTACTAACTGTTAGGTAAAGGCAGTTTTCTGTGTGCGACCCAATTCCCTCGTTAGTGGGACCGGGGAGGGAGTATGGCCGCGCACCTGTTTCGGGTGACGGCCTGTGCTGTCAAGACTGCTGTGCCCTCCACGCTGCCCGGGACATGGGGGCAGGTGCTCCAGAACATCTCGCCCCGTTTAGACCATTGCACGCTTCTCACGTCCTTGCGCTCACGTCCGTGATTCCTCTCGCCCTCCGTGCTGCTGCCCTGCGCAGTGCCCAGCGTGGCCCGTCCTCGACTGGTCCTCCCGGCCCTCCTCCCATGGGCTCAGGGATCCATGTGTTACCCATTGGTTTTCAGCAGAAGGGCCCAGACAGTACACCTCGGAACGGTCCCCACGGGCAGCCAGGCCGCAGGTGTTGCATGCGGGGAGACCTGTAGCCTGCTGTGTGTCGCTCCACAGGACCCCGCTGCACTGCGCGGCCTCCTGCAACAATGTGCAGGTGTGTAAGTTCCTGGTGGAGTCCGGAGCCGCCGTGTTCGCCACGACCTACAGCGACCTGCAGACCGCCGCAGACAAGTGTGAGGAGATGGAGGAGGGCTACAGCCAATGCTCACAGTTCCTTTACGGTTTGTAACCATCACATGCCATGCGCTGATGACGGCGCGGGTCTGCCCTCTGTTTCTGGGGTATGGTTTGCTCAGTGTTTCATCATCAGGAAACCGTTTTTGTGTTGTGCGTAGTCCTGGGCACTGAGAACAGGGCAGCCTTGATGCTCCAGATGAATGCAGCTCTTGTGCGTGGGCCTCCGAGCGGCCCTGCTGGGGACAGCCTGAGACTGGCCACCCGCTCCGCGGCCCCTGTCCCCGTGCGGGCCTGAGACTGGGCCCCTGCGAGTGGACCCCCCTTCCACTGTGGACCCAGGATTTCCCACTGGATCAGACTTGTCATAAAGTAAAGGAAGGGCAGCACCTGTTTCAGAGCCGATTTTTCTCTTTTGTTGTCTTCGTTTTGCGTTTATGATTCCGAGGGAGAACATCAGCTCTGATCCTAGAGAACAAGGGACTTGAGGTGTCAGATGGGCGTCTGTCAGGTCGCGTTTCCGGTCACGACCCTTACAAGTTGAGGGAGGTTAACTCTTCCTAGCTGGGCTGGAGTGGAATTGAGGAGAGGCGGTGAGCAGGTGCCAGGACGCCGTTCCGCTCACGCTCCAGGAAGCTGCTCCGCCTGGCAGTGGAAGGGCACGAGGCTGGTGAGCCTGCGTCCCCGCGTGGCTGTGTCCCGGCTCTCGGGCTGCTCTCAGGCTCCGGGCCGGCGCGGTGACTTCGCAGCTCTTACGCTCCCTGTGCGCACTGAGGGTGACCCCTCATTCCTGTTTCGATCTCTGGATCGGGGATAATTTTGATAGACTGACATTTTACTATTAAGATATTAATGTATACTTTGTCATATGAGCTGTATTGGCCATCTTGAGCTTTACTTAATTATGGAACACGATCTTTAAAAACAGTAGGGACGTCTGATCGGAGGCTTTACTTTATGGAATGTATCATGGACTCCAAGAAAGCGTGTCTCTGCCGTAGATGTTGAAATGGCAACAGCCTGGCTTCTCCCTGGTCGGGTCTGGGGGCCCTGCCCGGACGTGGCCCCTCACACCTGTGGCAGCTGCGACCTTGACCTTGAATGTTTTCTTCCTCACGTTTATCATTCCTTGCTTCTTAAAAATCCCTCTATCACCTGGGAATGAATCCTGTAACCCCTGGGTTTGCCGTTTCTGGGAAGTAAGTCATGCTGTGATTCTCCGGCTTGCGTTTCCGTTCTCAGTTGTTCTGGAGCCTCCTCTGTGTGGTGATGCTGGTTCTTGCTGTCTGCCCCGCTTACGGCTGCATCTGCCACGTCTGTCCCTCTGTTCTACCTTGGAGCGTCGGGGCGCGCGTTCACTTGCAGTTACAGACGGTCCACCCGGAGGGGTACTTGGTCCCAGGGACACACGCCTAGTTCCTTTCCCGCCATGTCCGCCTCTGACCCCTGCTGGACACGGGGTGAGAGCCCGCGTGGCTTCAGTTTGCTTACCCAGGGACCCGTGATACCGAGCATGTGTTCAGACCCCTCAAAAAGAATTTTAAACTCTTACTTCGGTGAATAGCAGAGTAAGGAGAAATTTTTTTCCATTCTTGATGATTTCTTGGAGATGAGAATGAAGTTATTTTTTTATTAGAATATGATCTTCTGATTCTGACCAAATATCTTTTAATTAGTATTTTACAGTCATTCAGGTTTGCCCAGAATAATCTCGCTGACACTCTGGAGAGCTGTTGTTTGAGCAAACCACAGCGCCCCCATTTTTCTCCTACCCCTTCCCTGCTCGCACTCCAGCCTGGTGGAGTCCAAGTTCGTTCAGGGCGTCACCCTTATGGGGCTCACGGTCACAGGGAAGTTGGAAGTGTAAGCATCCCCATTAGTAGAACCCTGACCCTTAGTCGGCAGAACCTCTGATGGAAAAGAGCAGCTCCGTGTCTTGTGTCAGTTTTGCCCAGAGCTCCATCGTCGTAACTGATAGACGAATAATAAGTTCGTAATTACGTTCAGTGTCTACAAGAAGTTGAAAAATCTGACTATTCAAGGGCAAGCTGATACTTTCCTGCCTTTTCTAAACCGGTAAAGGTGAAAACAGTAACCAGCTCTGGAGCGCTCGGGCCTCCTGACCTGACTAACCCTTCTGGCCCACGGTGCCCAGTGCCCGCCCCGCGCCTGCCCTGTGCGCACCTGGCCCCGTGCCTGCCCCCCTCCCCTTGCCCCGCGCCCGCCCCGCGCCCGCCCTGTGCCCGCCTGGCCCCGCATCCGCCCCCCGCCCCTGCCCTGTGCCCACCCTGCACCCCCCCCGTGCTAGCCCTGTACCTGCCCGGCGCTCGCCCTGTGCCTGCCCTGTGCCCGCCCTGCATCCGCCCCTACCCTGTGCTTGCCCTGCCCCCACACTTGCCCTGCACTTGCCCCCGTGCCCCCCCCCCCTGCCCTGTGCCGGTGAGGGGAAAGTGGAGGAGCGCAAAGTAGGGCTGAACGTGCACGTCTGTCACTACAGTGAAAGTGGACGTTTGTGGGTTTCCGTATCTTCTAGAATTTGGGTCCTCATGACTTTAGACTTGACTCTATCATGTCTGAAATATTTCCGCATTCTAACGTATCTTACAATTTTCTCTTTCTCCCTTTCCTCACTTGGAAATGGGCAGGGCCTGCTCAGTAGACACTGTTGTCACGGTTGCTGTAGGTTCCAGGTCAAGAGTCCACTGGTCCCCACGCTCAGGCGTGGCTGGAATTCGACAGGCAGAGTGCTCACTCTTCTAATAGCCTGGACAGTTCATTTTTATTCCTGGGCTTGCAGGAGTTTCTGTACTAAGACTAGTTTCTGAGCTACCTTAGAGAGGATCGCTGAGACTAACGTCTCATGGGACAACCCCCCCCACCCCCGGCTTTGTTCACGGGGTGCTTTGTGTGGTATTTCCAGCTTCCCTGCGCCTGCCCAGTTCCCCTCCTTTGGCTCTGTGGAGCCGAGGGTTGGAAGAGTGGACGGTCTGAGTCACGTGTCCTGTGTGGTTTCTTCCTGTCATTTCAGGGGTTCAGGAGAAAATGGGCATCATGAACAAAGGAGTCCTTTATGCGCTCTGGGATTATGAGCCTCAGAATGGTGACGAGCTGCCCATGCGAGAAGGGGACTGCATGACCGTCATCCGCCGGGAGGACGAGGAGGAGACCGAGTGGTGGTGGGCGCGCCTGCACGACCAGGAGGGCTACGTGCCGCGCAACCTGCTGGGGGTAAGTTACGCCGGCCGCTGGCGCTTCTGGGCAAGCTGGGCTGTGCGGGAGTGCGCTGTGTCCGGCTGGACTCGCTGCCGCTGACCGCCCTTTGCTCGCGCCCGTGGGCTGTTAGAGTTCAGGCGGCGTTAGATGTACATGTAGGGGAGGGTCCACATGCATGCCCACTACTGCCCGAGGTTGGGGCCCTGCTGCATCCCGGCAGCGTCAAGTGTGCATGTACTGTTGGCTACAAATGAGGATCCGCAGAGCCGGCGCGCAGAGCCTTCCCTCCGGCTCGGGAAAGTAGTCCAGGCATGTGAGCGCGTGCAAGCTGGCGGCCCTGCTGCGTCCGGACAGAGGGCTGGCTGTGCTCGGCGCGGGGCTCGCAGGAGTGTTTGCAGGGAGGAGGTGAGGAGGGTGGGCCAAGGGCAGGGAGTGGGAGTGACGTCCTGTGTGCGCAGGGCCTGAGAGGAGAGTCTAAACCAGAAGAGCCGGAGAGGGAGTGGTGGTCAGCACCATGGCTCCCGCCTCCGCCCCTGCGCACTCACTGGGCAACAGGGGTGCGGCTGGCAGGCACGGGGAACACTGCCTCCCGAGACCGCTGGGGTGTCTGCCGGTCAGCTCCCGTTGGACCCATGGTCCGTGCGGCCGGAGCTGCTCTGGGATCGAGGCCGCCAGCCCGGTTCGGTGTGCGAATGCGCGGTGGCGGGACCGTGGCACTTTCCATGGTGTGTCCGGGGTGTGGGGACCTGGCATCTCCTCCTGACCCTCCTCGTCCGTTCTTGTGTCTTGCGCATCCGGACTGCTGCCCCCCAGTCGCACGGGTCCTTGTTAGTCAACCTTTGGGGCTTAGTATCCGCTGGTGTGGTCTTAATGAAAATTACCAAGAATGGATGAAAGTCAAAGAGCACTGAGCCACAGAGCCCCGGAAGCTTCCCAGCGCCCCAAACACCAGCAGCTCGCATTCGTTCTAGTTTCTTACTTGGGGAAACCTCTTCCAAGTGCCTGCTGATTGGTCTTTCATTTTACTTTTCTAAAAAAGAGGTCCCGTGACTCATGAACCGAGAAGCCTCACTTGTCCTGGGTATGGAGGCACTTGGCCTCAGCGCAGGGCCCTCAGGAGGCTCTGACATCAGCAGACCAGACCCAAGATTTTCATGTTGATCCGGATTTAAATATAGCCTTTTGGAAATCTCTTTGGTGTAGAAGTGGCCTCTAAGTAACTTATTTGGGTTTCCTTGGAGGTTCAAAAAATGGAAATCACATAAATGTTGAGTTTTTAATCAGGCTCAGATGGGAGTCTGGAAGATTGTATTGACTACTGATCTTTTCTCAAGAAAACAATCTTTTGTATAATGTTGATCCACCAGTTAGTTTTTCAGTTTTGGCTGGATGTCTGAGTCTCCCTTCTTACAGTGAGCCTTGGTCCTTTTGTCTACGAAGCAGGGGGAGGACGAGGAGGCTCTGTGTAGTTTGCCAGTTGAACTGCTGGTTTGACTCACTCTTGGCTTCCAAACTGCAGATCTTCCGACCTTCACAGGCTCCTCTCCACCTCTTGTTATGGAAAACACAAAACCACAAAAGTCCACAAGCAAAAAAACTCCACTTACCCTCCCTTAAATCGGTACCTTTTAGTCTGTGGCATTTCGTGGCTTACAGTCTCAGGTCCCACGAGAGTGGTCGTTGGCTGTTGTGAGTGAAGTTGAAAGACCCCAGTGTCTCCTGTGCCCCGCACACGCGGTGCTGCAGACCACCTCCAGCCATCACAGGCTGACCCCCCGGCCAGGGCTGAGTGCCATCACGCCTTCTTAGGTCCATTCGCCACGGTGTTGTGCCCGGTGGGGACCCCTGTGACCTTCGCTCAGGAGTTGCTGAATGTGAATCTTTGTGCCCTCAGGCAGCTCTGGGCACCTCATGTGGCAGAGAGTCCTTTCCTTAGTTTCTCTCCTGTGACACCAGCCCCCCACCCGTTACACTCCTGCGTGTCTGTCTCTACAGCGTGTAAATCGTTTCTCCGTTCTCTTGCAGCTCTACCCAAGAATTAAACCAAGGCAAAGGAGCTTGGCCTGAAACTTTACAGAATTTTAGTGTCTGAGTAATTAATCTTTGTTATCACTAAGAAGAAATAATGTGCTTGTTTTTGGCAAAAATTTCACAAGACTGACTTTAATGACAACGTAACTTGAGAGCAATGCAGAATGTCTTCTGGAAGAAAATGAAGGATTGGAGAATTTGCTATCCGTGGGGGACGTTCAGCGTGATGGACTGCAGCTTAGAAGTAAGCTGATCACACTGTTGGGGAACGGTGTTTACGGAGCACTCGGGAAGATGAAAAGTGACTGTCCTGGTTTGCTCCAGAAATAGGGCCATTCGTTGGGCTCCTGGGAAGTTGGCTTCATGTCCTGTCTAGTTGGTGTTTGTCCGCACCTCCCCTGCCCCAGCCAGAAAGGACCAATGCCACCGTGGCGGAACCTCTGCCTGTCCCCCCTCAGGTCCCAGGGGACCCAGGGGACTCAGGTGCCCCGCGCACGAATGTTGTTGGTGAAGAACTAACTGTTGGTCGGTTGTCAGCAATCCCTTTATGATAGGAGCTCTTCAGAATTACACATATGTTTGAGATACTGGAACCAAGCTGTAGCACAGCTAATTAGATTTAGAACCTTGTTTTTAGGATGAATTTAAATCTCTATTTATTGTCTTTTGTATCTTGGAAATTGGAGACTTGCTATATAGACTTACCCATGATATTTGTCAAGATCATAGCTGACTTTAAAAACAATTGTAATAAAATTAAACTTTTTGACTCTAAAGCTTTTTCCTGGTTTTAGTTTTTTGTGTCATTAAAAGCCTTGTTTAAAGTTCATAAGCCGTTAGGCGGCTTACCCTGCGGGAAGATAGTATTTCTTTACCAGCCATGTGATTACATGGAAGAAGTGTTTTCTTGCTTACAGGAAACTCGGTTTTATAATCGGTGAGTTTTGTGGCGGCCCTCAGTGGAGAACCACGGGGACGGAGGGTCTCACCGCCCCTCAGCCTCTGTGAGGCCGTCTCGTCCTCACCTACACCGTCCGCGCTCACTTGTGGGATGAAAACGCACACAGACAGGGTCTCTGCGTTGGTGTTTAATATGTTACCAAGTTTGTGAATGGCTTTGGAACCCACTCTGCTTAATGGAACTATTTTCAGTTAATAGAAGCCACAAATGAAGAATGAGCACTCACTTCTTATTTTATGCTTTCACGAGCACCTAAATTACAGCAAGAATGAATGAAAGAACAACTCAGGCTCATCTGACTAATGGAGAAATAGGGACAACTGAGCTAGTAGTCGGAAGATGTGTGTGGTGGACAGAATTCTGAGGCTGCCCCCCATCTTCCTGCCTCTGGGGTGACAGTGTTTGGAGGTGGGGCCTCTGGGGGCTGAGGAGGCACGTGTGATGTCAGGTAGAGCCCCCCCCCCCCCCGCTTCGTGCCCTTGGAGGAGGAAGTGGCCACGGCCCTCCCCTCTGCCACGTGCGGACATTGCAAGAAGGTGGCCATCTGCGCTCTGGGTAGGGTCCTTGCCAGATGGCATGTCAGCTGCACCCTGATCTCGGACCCATAGCCTCCAAAGCTGAGAGGTAGGTGTGTGTTGTGTGAGCCCCCAGGCCGTGGGGTTTTGTTCTGGAGCAGAGCAGACTAGGAGTTCTGGTTACCCGGCCAGACACTGATCTAGGTGCTTCTGTGAGGGACTTTTCCTATCAGCTGACCTGGGGACAGGGAGGTCACTCTGGGTTGCCAGGTGGGTGCAGGAGAGGTGTGAGGTGCGAGGGGCTCAGCCCACCACTGCCCGCCCGAGGCGGAAGGGGTCCCATGCCAGGGAAGATGGAAAGCCCCTGCCAACAGCTGGGAACCCCCCCTCGGCGCTCTGCTGGGACTGGCCAGTCCCATGGGACCGTGAGGTGATGGGTGTTCGTTTTTTTTTTTTTTTTAAGATTTTATTTTTAAGTAATCTCTATTCCCAGTGTGGGGCTTAAACTCACGACCCTGAGATGAAGAGTCACACGCTCCTTTCATTGAGCCAGCCAGGCCCTGGAGGATGGGTGTTTAAGCCGCTAAGCAATAGGCATCAAGTACGACAGGGCCTCTGGGCCTGGTCTGGCTCTTACCCACCGGCCGCGCGACCTTGCCCGGGACACACAGTTCAGCGTCATCTCTGCACACCTCGGCGTGGAGGGGCCCATGCCAGGTACTGTACGTGGAGGAGCTGCAAAATCTTAAAGAATCGCTCAGATGTATGGGAAGGGACGATGTGAAAATTAGGAGAACGTGATCATCTGCTTTGTCCTAAACTGAGAACATTTGCTTGTATTCTTCCTCTTTGTTTTTTCCTTGTTTATCATCAGAGCATCCTTGCATCAGAGGTTCTCGTAGAAATATCTGCACGTACAGGGAAGGGTCGCGGAGCGGTGTCGCGGAGCAGGGGTGGGGTGCTTTCGGGACCAGCGGCAGCGTGTCAGGTCAGTATCGCGGCCACGGGTTGAGAGCGCACAGCTTCAGTGCTGTGGCGTTGTGAGCGTGAGGTTGCTCAGGAGCGTGATTTCTGCTGGCTGTGTGATACTGTGCACGTAAGGGACCCAGGTCTGACCCGGGTGTCCCCAGTTCCGAGTGACGCCCATGAGGCATCTTCATGGTGGCATTTCTAGATTTTTGAAGAAAGGGGAGTAGGGCAGCTGGAGGGTGGGCTCTGCTGCAGAGGGGCTTCTGGTGGGGATGGAGGGGGGCACATGGAGGATGGGCAGAGGGCAGAGGTCACCGTGTCAAAGGCACAAAAAATTGGGAACATGGTGCTGGTTCTCCTTCATAGGTCTGGGCACTGGGAGGTAGGCGGGGGCCAGAGGAAGCAGCAGGGCCCAGGTGGCTGTGGGAGGGGAAGGGGGGGAGAGTGAGGGAGAGGGGAGGGAGGAGGAGGAGGAGGGCGAGGGTGAGGGGGGAAGAGGGGTAAGGGAGGAGGAGAGGAGGGAAGAGACGGGAGAGGAGGGAGAGGAGGGAGAGGGGCTGCTGGGAGGAGGGTGTGTTCCATGTTGGGGAAGGAGGGGCCTGCTCTCGGTGCTGGGATGCCGCGTGCAGGGAGAAGTGCAGAGAGCCTGTGTGCCCAGCACAGAGACTTGGGGGCCTTGGGCTGGAGCCACTTCCCGTGGGGTCCGAGGGTGGGGGGGCGGGGTCCGGAGGTGGCGGGGGGAGGGCGCTGATGCACTGGCTGACTTCTCCCTGTGAAGTAGGTGCTGGCGAGGGCTGCACTGTGGGGAGAACCCCAGGAACTTGCTAATTCTCCCTCCGTCCTTCTGTGCCGAGGGAAGCGTAGACCTTCCCTGTTTGTCTCCATTATTTCCCCGGCTGGGACTGGACCGGTGCCAGGTGAGCGGGTGAGCCAGGTCAGCGTAGCAGGTGCAGAGGGGCAGAGCCTGCTGCGCAGACGCAGGTTTGCCGGGGCCTCTCCACTCCCAGTGCGCCTGGTCTTGAAGCCCCCACCCCGAGGCCCGAGCCCCTGCTGCTGAGTGGATGACACTCCCCACCCCTCCCACCCTCCCCTCGGCCCGCGGGTAGGGCCCCATCGCCTCCCAGCCAAGCCTGGGAGATGCACCTGCCTGTCCCGCCCCATCCTGCTCCTCTCCGTGTTGTAGGGCTCTCCCAGGGGTCACCGCCCGCAGGCCCGGGACTTCTGTGCCTGTCCTGCCGGCCCCCATCTGGTCCCCACGCCCGCAGGCCTGCCTGGGCCTCCTTGGGGAGACCAGAAGCAGATTAGGGTGGCACCTACTCCGTGGCCACTTAGGAACTTCCAAATTGGATTAAGAAGTATCGTTGTGCAGGAAAGGGGAGCTAAGCAGCCTTTTCCTGTCAAGAGGGGAATTCAGAGGTAGCAGGCTGTGGCCAGTGTGTGCACTAACTGCCGCTGGACCCTCCAGAAGGACAGCACCACGCAGGACTGGGTGACTCTTTATTAATAAACAGCACATTCGGAAGAAGATAAGGCAACTAGGCGGTATTTTCATAATGCTGCTAGCGTTTTCCCAGGGTGGAGCCAGAGGACCAGCTCCCATGCCCTGTCCCTCCTGACTCCACACACAAGCAGGGCAGGGGTGACGTCCAGGCGGCAGACAGCGGGTTCTGTCCTTGACCGTGATCGGACCCGGGCCCCTGCGTTGGTGCTCACTTCAGGTGGCTAAGCCAGAGCCAACTCCCTTCAGCAGCTGGGATGCTCCCCGTCTGAAAGCAGGCTGCTCAGGGTTTGGGCTAAGACACGCGGGTAACCGGTCGAGTCACGTGACGGAGGGGTGTCTTCTCGGTCCCTCCGCGATGCATCCTGTTTTCCCTTTTACTCTGGGGACACGGACTGCTGTTGGGCCAACGTCACAGCTGCATTTTTAAATCTGAAGTTGCTTTAACTATTCCCAGCAGGGACCTTGTGTCCTTGGAGAAGGACTTCATGTGTGGTCAGCTGTTAAAATACCTCCCTGCGTCGTTTCCCTGGTTGAATATTGCTACAAACAGGAAGGTGTGTAAAAGTAGACTAGGTAACAGATTTCAGGGTTTCTTTGAGCTTACCAAGGATTGAGTGACTTGCTGGCGTTTAATACCATGATATGCAAATCTTTTACTTTGAAATCTGAAAGTTCTATCTCAAAAAGCATCTTTATTTTCAGCTATAATCATCTGTTTAAGTAAATGTTCCCATAATTGCAAGGTCCAGATAAAAAGTTTCTCTGTGGAGGCCTAGTGCTCAGCTGCTTGTCTTCAGCGGGATCCGTTATGACTTCAGAGGACCGAAAAGCAGAGCCACTGTGAGGAAGAAAAGAGCCGTCAGCCCAGAGACCAGGTACAAAATGAAAGGCTATTTAAGTGCCCGTAGTGCCTCCTGAAAGACCCGACTGCAGCCAGCAAAGCTGCGCGAGGATGAGGGCCTCAGTGCACAGGCTCACAGCTTCTCTGTGCCATGGGCCAGGGGGCCACGACCCGGACCTCGGGCCACACGACGTCAGGCGCATGTGTGTCTGGGCTGCAACTCTCCCCGGAACCAGAGGCTTTCGCCCTTGGTCTCTGTTGGAGTGAAGTGGGAATTCTGGGTCAGATTGTGATTGAGTTGGGCTGGGACGGGCCTGGACCCCCAGCTTCTGCCAAGCTCCCCACGGCACCACGGCTCATCCTAGCAAACTAGAGCCTCCCCTGTGGACTGCAACCTCAGGGCGGGCTGTTTCCCAGAGACGTATGTACGGCTGGACAAGCAACTCAGTGTTATCCGTAACCGGCTCACAGATTTCCAGTTGGCTGAAGCCCTTTATAGCGCATCATAGCGGGCTTCCTCCAGAGTTCAAAGTGCAAGGAAAGGAGTGGCCGGGCCCTGACACCCGTCCCGCCTGCCTCTTCACTTCTCGCTGGTATGTGGTCATTCCTGTGAGGCGTCGGCCCCCTGCCCAGCCCTTGGGCTGCCCCAAGCTCCGTTCCCCTGAGAGCAGGAAATGTACGGCCTGGGAGCACAGGGTACCCTTCCTCCTGGGGGTGAGAGAATGTCCTGGCATTGAGATGACCAGAGAACACCTCGCACTTTGCTCTTCAGGGAACCAGTGTCCCCCCTCCATTTGGCTTGAGGATCATCTCCCAGGTGGGCATTGCGGGGGCTCCAGCCACATACCCCAAGCGTAGTTAC